ATACCTTTATCCAATGATTATGTCTTACAAAATGCAAAGGTATCTTTAAGACAAAGAGGTGACTTGATGAAAGAGTTGTGTCCTTGAAGAAAAGATACTTATAAGCCTATAAAAGATTTGCTACCAATCATTTTAACACACCAAAAGAAAATAAAATATTAATAAAAAATCAAGAGCAATACAAGTGTTATGTTCTAAAATTAAACATAAATACTTGAGTTCCCATCATCTATCAAAGGAATCGAAATTCTTTATATTCTACTTGCTGCAAAAAGCAGACTTTAAGGCTAACAACTGCAAATCGTCAGGTGTATCTAGCGGTCTACTCTCATAAAGTGCTAGATGAAGTTGGACATTGGCTTCATTGTATTTCTAAGGTTATTCGCATTATTTCTCTTTGCATACCGAGTGGTGGGGGTGAAATAAGTCTTAAGGATAATGTCTATTGGAAAAGCTCGCCTTGAAGTCAATTTTGCCAGTTCCTTGAATTTCATTGAAACGCCATTTGCCCCAATAATTTTAAGACTTAATTTTCATGCTATTGGAATTCAAAATGACTTCACTAAAAGATATGGTTACCAACATTGTCAAGTTAGACAGCTTTGTAGAAGAATCTTTGGATGAGATTCATTTGTGGCAAAATGGTTCTACATCGAATTATAAGATAAGGTTTTTTCCTTACTTCATATAAATACGCATGATATTGTATTTGGTATGCATAAAAAACATATATTGGTTGGAAAGAAAAATTTTGTTGTAGTCATATATGATCTTAATATGAAAAAGGTTATTGTTGTATTTTCTATAATTGGCATACTCCCCGCATTATGGAGAGACACTAAGAAAACTCTAAAACATAAAACAGAGGAAATCTCTCTTTAGAACTTTAATAATCATCTTCGAATGAAAGAAGCTTGTTGTAACTAAGATGAAGTCACAAACAAGATGTTCAAGATATAGATCCTAAAGTAAACCATCTTGAGTTGATGAAAGTCCATGTGATAGAAGACACAAGGGATGAACATGTGGCATTCCTATTTTACATTGAGGTATAATGATGCCAATATGTAAATACAATAAAGGTCCATGTGATAGCTAGGCATGTGGCATTCCTATTATATATGAAGGTATAATTATGTCAATATGTAAATTTAATATTTTCCTATATGATACATTCTTATTTTATTATCGAAGGCATAATGGTGCAACATAAATATTCAATATTTTTGACAAGGTATTCCTATTATGTAATAAAGTTTCAATGGTGCTTATGTGAACATATACCTTGATGTATTAATTTGACATTTCAATTGTACGTTAAAGTATAACAGTGTCAATTGAGAAGAAAGAGAATGCGTGTAAGCTTGTAAAGTCCTTATATGGATTAAAACAAGCACTTAAACAATGACATCAAAGTTTGATAAGATTGTGCTAGCTAATGGCTACAAGATCAATCAATCTGACAAATGTGTCTATAGCAAGTTCCAAGTGTCATTATTTGTGTATATGTGGATGACACATTAATCTTTGATACTGATTTTGGAACAAGTGGAAGACACAAAAAGGTTCTTGTCAAAGAATTTTGACATGAAAGATATCTGTGTGGTAGATGTTATTCTTGGTATAAGAACAGTGAGAGACAATAATTGCATAACATTGTCTCAATCTCATTACATTCAAAAAATGTAATGAAGTATGGTAAGTTAAATTGTAAGTCAATGTATATGCTTTATGATTCTAATATAAGGTTAGTACATGTAACGACCCAAGTCCAACCACTGGCCCAACAACTCTTTAAGCCTAAATCACGTGGTCCTCAAAAATTTAAGCTCAAATTGCTAGTAGTAGTAGACTTGAATTGTTATATAGGTCTTAACAATCACATTCACATCGGATGTGGGATGTTGGGTATCACAGTACCTCACGAAGAAAAGCCAATAGTACAAAATGAATATGCAAGGGTGATTAGATGCCTAATGTATGCAATGATATGTACAAAGTTGGATATTGCATTTGTGGTTAGGATGTTAAGTCGATTTACAAGTAATCCAAGTAAATAACATCAGTATGTTGTTCATAGAGTTTTAAGGTAATTAAAGAATAAAATGAATTGTGACATTTGTTATTCAGGTTTTCCTTCAGTTTTAAAAGGGTATAAAGATGCTAGTTAAATCTCAAATAGAATGGATCATACCTCTACGACTGATTGGATTTTTAAAATTGGTGGGGGTGTTGTTTTTTTAAATTTTAAGAAACAATCTTGTCAAGCGAACTATACCATGATAGTTGAATTTACACCCTTAGCATTTGTCACCCAACAAATTGAATGGTTGAGAGATTTATTTTATGAAATTCCATTGTGGCCTAAACCAATAGCACCAATCTTGATACATTGTGACAATGAACCAACAATATAAAAGGCATATAATCAATCATATAATGGAAAGAATCGATGTATTGGACTTCGACATAATATTATAAGACAAAGAATTAGTGATGGTATAGTCACTATAAGTTATGTGAGGTCCTGTGAAAATTTAACGGATTCGTTTACCAAAGGTTTGAAAAAAGACTTGGTAATAAAGACCTCGAAAAGGATAGGTCTCAAGCCTATCAACTACATCTCTAATGGTGGGAGCTCACCTCGATGCTTACGACCAATCTACAAGTCTTGGGTACTGACCATTCTACCACATGGTGATTACAAGTATTAATTTATATTTTCCATCCTGAGGTGAATAGAGCTTGGTTCCTGTAATGTGTAAGGTAAAGTTTAACAAAAGTTCTTAATAAATTTATAACATGTATATGTTAAAGTACTATAATTACAAGATACTTCTAATAGGGGCTACCTATGTGAATGGAAGTGTGGCCACTTCTAAGAGCTAAAGGCTTAACTCTAATAGAACTCATGAATGGATGCAAAAAAAAAGGCCATAAAAAATGTGTTGGCAAAACTAAATACAAAGTGAGCAAAGAAGCTTATGTGTGTTTAGTGACCTGACTAGTCAAATGAAGAATTGATGGTTCAATGCGTCAACCACTCAATTCAAACCAGAACTAACCACATTCACTAAGTGAAGGTTCAAATCTACAAGATACTTTCATTTATGCATAAGATTCCTAAAGTTATTGGTATTTGAAAATTTTGAAAATGGTGGGGGATTGTTATTATATTTTCAAATAAAAAGTTATCTCATATAATAAAAACCTATCTTAACTCAAAGGTTATGTCACAAAGAGTGACATAGTGTGACTATTTGATTGTAGGTGAGTTTTTAATATGAAACAATTAAAAACACCTTTGAATCCAAAGGATATGAAACAAAGAGTGACATACTGGAAAAACACCTTTGAATCCAAAGGATATGAAACAATTAGAAAAACACCATAGCCCAAATGTTTGGATACAAAAAGTTATTTTTTCATATTATACCTCAAAGATTATATCTTATGGAATGAATGTTTGTCCTTTCATAAAGTGATTATGGAAACAATATCTTTATCTAGAAATTATGTCTTACAAAATGTAAAGGTATCTTAAAATGAAGAGGTGCCTTGATGAAAAGGTTATGTCCTTGAAGAAGAGACACTTGCAAGTCAATATAAAGTGCTTATTGCCAACCATTTTGACACACCAAAAACAAATAAAATATTAACAGAAAAGTCAAGACCAATACAAGTGTTATGTTCTAAAATTAAACAAAAACACTTGAATTTCCATCATTTATCAAAGGAATCTAAATTCTTTATAATTTGCTTGCTACAGAAGTAAGTTTTAAAGCTAAACAACTTTACAAACCTTCGAGTGTATTTAGCGAACTGTTTTCATAAAGTGTGAGACAAAATTAGACATTGACTTCATTGTATCTCTTAGACTATTCGTATTATTCCTCTTTACTTACCGAGTGGTGGGGGGATGAAATAAGTTTTAAAAATAACATTTAATCAAAAGGTTTACTTTGAAGTCAATTTTATCTATTCGTTGAATTTTATTGAAATCCTAGTTGTGCCAACAGATATTTGAATATTTTTAAAATATTTATAATTTAAAGTAATTTTACTCATCAAATATAAAAGTTTATCTCTTGTAACCAAATGCGATAGTTTTTTCGGTAACTTTATTAAACCTCAATAACACAAAATATTTTGTATAGATGCCAAAACTTTTACGTGTTTTAATGATACATTGTTTGGTGAAAATTTAGCGAGGAATCGATCATCGGTCTCCAATATTAGAAAGCATATTTGCATTAGGGTAGCAGTCACATCCAGCCGACACTATAGGATGGGAAACTCGAACTGTAATTCGATTGGGACAAGCATTGTCCTCTATGGGGTTTAAAGAAACATCATTCTTTTCCTTTGGACAATGGTGCACGGAATATTTTGTGCATTTTGTTACTCGTATTTATGGAATAACCTACTCCCACAGGCCATGTTCTGCCAGGCTGCCAAATTCAGGGTGCGTGCTTCTTGAAAACATGATTGAAATCAGACATGGACTAGCTAATAGATAGGGCAAGGCAAGGATTGGACGGCTTAGCTCAAATTTCTACCATCCTTGGTGATATAGAAGAAGGTTTGGTAAACATTGGCTTTTATCTGGGTTTAGTTTGATCTAGTTCTGGCTGTTAAATCACCCGAATGCTATCTGAAAACTACTCCCTAGATGCAAAAATGGTCGTAGTCCTAGCCACGATTCATATAAAAACACTCTCAGCCACAATTCATATGGAAACACTCTCAGCCACAATTCATATGAAAACACTCTCAACTTGACCAGGTATGGTTTGGGAGACGCCAGCCTGTAATAGCCCAGCTAACACAATATTTTACATTATTAGTGACGGGCAACAGGATTGATTGATTAGCTCAAGTGTCGATTGGTCCACTTTGATTTGCTAAGCATTTTCTATTTGTTGCCAATTGAGAAAATCGCCATGCCTTGTTAAATAATAGTAGCAATTAGCAACCACCGTTAATCAATCAAATTTCACAAGTTTAGAAACACACAGCAACCTTTTTAAACTCTTTTCTTAAACCCATTATTTTGTTGCATTAACAGAGTGGTTTTGTTTTGTTTCAAGAGTCTAGCCAGCTCATTCCAGCAGAGTCCCAGTCCCCACATCTTATCACATAAAATCCCCATTGGCTCCCTTCACATTCACAACATCTCCAACACAAGCAAATCATGGCTTCAGCTACTGTTTCTCCCATTCTCCTTACTCTGTCTGCTCTCTTCCTACTTTTCACTTCTACAGCCTTAGCACAGACAGCTCCCGCCCCTGCCCCCCCTGGCCCCTTAAACTTCACTGGAATCCTTGAAAAAAATGGCCAATACACCTACTTCCTTCGCCTTTTAGCAGAGTCTCAAGTCGGCAGCCAAATACAAAATCAGCTCAACAGCACCACCGAAGGCTTTACCGTTTTTGCTCCCACAGATAATGCCTTTAACAACCTCAAATCTGGTACCATCAACAGTCTCGACGAGCAAAAAAAAGTACAACTAGTTTTGTACCACGTTCTGCCAAAATACTACTCTTTGAACGACCTTCAATTTGTTAGCAACCCAGTTAGAACCCAAGCTACTGGTCAAGATGGCAGGGTTTACGGGCTCAACTTCACTGGCCAGAACAACCAGATTAATGTGTCAACAGGGGTAGTTGAGACGCAGATTAACAATGCACTAACTCAACAGAAACCTCTGGCAATTTATCAAGTGGACAAGGTGTTGTTGCCCGCAGAGTTTTTTGAAGCTAAATCGCCAGCTGAAGCTCCTTCACCGGCAACAAAGAAATCATCATCAGGGTCTAACTCTAACTCAACCGCATCAACCGCTGATGAGCCAGCTTCTGCTGATAATTCAGGTTCAAGTGGGAGGAATATGGGGCTGGGCTTGGTTGTTGGACTTGCGTTGGCTTGCATGGGGGCTCTCTCTTGACCAGACATGAAGTTTGTATTTTGTGGAGTCGGCATTTTTTCACATTTTCTTCCTTTTTCAAACGGATAAGGGTCTACTGGGGCTTTGAACATATACTTCTTATCCACATTATATGTATTTCTTTCATTTATGTCGATTTGCTTGTGCATTTGCTTGGTTGTTAATAATACGGGAGTTTCAGAAAATTCTGTAGCCTCTCCATTTGATCTCTTGCCCTGTATATATTTCTCTTTCTCTAATGCTATTTTCATCAACAATTATGCGAGAGAATAAGGAGCAGCGAGAAGTTCAAATTAGCAGCAAGCAGGAACGAGATTTTGAGAATGATAAACACATATGTCACCGTATAATGCTAATTCTGATTTCTGAACGTGCTTGCCACCTCATTCTGCAATCCTATATCAACTAGTTGATGACCTTAAACGTGAATGATCGACCCAAATCTCAACTTCATCATTCTCAAGGTCAACTTTAGTTTAGTACTTCAACACTGTGTGTTTAACACTACTTGCAATCAAATGCTCTATTTCTTTCTCTATTATTAATTTAGTATTACTACTTCATCGTCCCCTCACATGTCCTTATTTAAGTTTTGATCACGGCAGGACAAAGTCCAAGGAGTGTATATATATATACACCACTAGCATTTCTCTACTCTATAGGTGGATTCAAAAAACAAAAAAAATGGAATCTTTTGAATCAATGTCCTTTCTTATGGTCTTCTCATTTTGCAGGTTACATATTTTTAAACTTCTTAATAAACTAAGAGAAATTTTGTAAAATTTTAGTGAACAAAATGTAAAGACAACAGAGTTTTATTAAGAATGTGCTTCAAAATAAGATAAAGAGTATGACATTTTGTTGTGTCAGAAGTTCACAATGCATGTTGAATAACCTATGGAATGTACATAGAATGTACGGAAAAAGTTATGAGATACTCATATGTTGCTCATCAGATTTTGTAAGCATTGAACTGGAGGTATCTTCTTCTATTACTGGACTAATTTCTCCAATGCCATTGCCAGGTTCTGGTTGTCTCCAGCTGCTTCCAAAAGAGATTTCACCATCATAGCTTCTTCCGGTGATGGTCTCGGGCGTTGCTTTCTCTTGAGAGATTTCTGGAGTTGGAGTGCTTCTTGTGGAAGGCTGCACATCATCTTCTGTAATCTCATTGCAAGAATAGCTTATGGCTGAGAGGGGATGTTCATTCTTTGCAGTCATGACTGATGCATTAATGGTGTCAGGGAGTGAGGAGTTTGGTGACTTTTTGGTTGAAGTTGATTCGTCCCTGGCAAGACTGACTTTTGCTTTATGGTGCCAATGTTTTAGGCCTCTGGCTACACTTTCTGTGAATATTGCGCTGTTCATGCTAGAACCCATCTGCAAGAGTCATTTGTCCCAGAAGGGGGGAAATAATTATAAACGTACTTGAATCATGCATAATAGCATCGTAAACCCAATACATTATTAGTCCCACTAGATGGCTGTTTTGGATTAGAGATTACAAAGCACACATACTAGGCTATCCTTCCATAACCATGAAGGAAATTTGTTTCCCTTCTTTTCCTCCGGTCCTAAACAAATAAAGGACTTGTTCTGAAGCATTATAATTTATGACTAGGTTGTTTTCTGTGTAGCCTTGGCTTAAAGTTCTAGCTGTGGATTTAATCCAGGTGCCTAATTTTGCCATGCTCATCAAAAAAAATTTTGGACCATCTTAATCAACTTCCTCTTCCAAGGAAGTTCTTTTTTTTCCTTATTTGTTAATCAAAAATCAAGATTGAAAGCATTCTTCAAGTTTGGTTGTGGTAGGGTAATGTACTGAAAGCATTCTCGGTTCTAGCTCCTAATTGTGGTCTGTTATAGCGGTTCGCGATACATAAAAATCTCCAACACCCCCCATACTTTGACACAGCAATGTTCTTGTATTTGTACCTGGGCGACGAGTGTATAAAGAGGCAGGGTAAGATAACCGCAAAGTAACTGCGTAAATGCACCCATCACAATCCTTATGGCAAAGTCCTCCGTTCCTTGATCGAAGCAAGATCTAAGCCCATACTCATACTGTCATAGCTAAAGAGGTCAGCTTTGGATGTCAACATATCCTGACTCCTGAGTTTACCAACTTAAAATACCTACCAATGTCCACGCAAAGAACGCCAGCTGAAATGAGTTCTGCAATCAAGGTCAAAAGCCTTCTTCAGGATCTTATCACATTTGTAAAATTCCATTTAACTAATGTTAGGATAGGCACCTCAATTACCAAAGGAAAGTGCTAACATTTGCTAAGAAACAGTGTCTTCTCGCAAAATATATCAGTTCCAAACATTTGGCATCTGTTACTATCAAATTTTTGGTTGCTCATAAACGAGCTAGTTATTGATATTCTCTACCTGGATTAGGACGAGCTGAAGGAGATGGAGAAGCCATTTAGGTCGGCCAAACCAGAATAACTCATCACTGGGCTTCACATGGAAACTCCCTCGAATGATAGAACTATTCTTGTGACTCTCCACACACATTTTGGTTATTATGACTTGCAGCTTTGCACCCACAACAAGAATAATCTTCAACATAAAATGTGAGAGTAGAATGTAGTAAGTATCAGACTTTAATCATGTCTTTGTAAAGATAAAAGACAGATGGGTGGTTGATCATACCACTAGAGGAAGAAATGGTAGCCAATAATGGTTATAAAATCCTGCATCGGAACCAAAGTACGACTCTCTTCAAATAGTACTAGTTATTTAACTACAGTTATAGAATTTCAATTTTTTATCATATGAGCGACCCTAACAGATTCTGAAATCCAGAAGCCTTACTGTGTGCATTGAAAAATATGAAAAGAATGCTGACGATCCAGATCCAAAACCTGCAAAAGAGAGTGCCAAGAGTCTCATTGTCCGAATTCAAAGTTCAAAATTTTCTTCTCTTTGGCAATGAGCATTCTGCCAATAAGCATTCTGAATGCCTTTCTAGCTCTCACCAATACCATTGTCCTTATCAGATCTTAAATTTCTGTATCAGTGGTATGTTGATCAACTAATGCTTTTGTGAATCATTTGTGTGGCAGAGAAATTTTTACCTGATTCCAACCACCCGTTCAAAATCATCATCGAAAGCTCTTCCAAGGAACTTCTGGAAGTTGAAATTACTCCCTTCACCAACATTGGCCTGTGGGATCAAGCAAGAATATTTTAGATGCAGAGTCGTGAAGGATTCGATATATTATATATAGCAGACTATCAAAAGAAAAGGCCTGCTCAAATCTGGTGTGTTCAGTTCAGCTCATGCAATCTTGGGGGTATCTAACCTGCTCTTGATAGAGACTATAAAAGCTAAAAGCCTAAATTTCTGTACATGTCATCATTAATTTATTGGCAATGGGGTCCAGAAGATCTTATATACCAGGATAAATGCATTTCGAAGAGTGAAATAATCAGCTTTTGAGGCTGAGCCACTGAACTGTCGAATGAAACAAACCTAAATCAGAGGGAAAAATGCAATGTTAATGGAGCTCATCATGAAAGATTTATTCTATTTTAACTACTATTTCCAACAGGAAAAGTCTTTTTTCAGTTTATCACCTACATGTGATTGACAAAATTCTAGTTTAACTTACTGGCCAAAGCAAGAGAAAGTGATTGCTCCATAGTTTCAAATGTCTTTGCCCAAAAGATGTTTGGCGGGTGAGCCGGAATCTCATTGGATCTGTGCAGAGTAAGTTTCAGTAAACATACAAGACATAATATATATCAATGTCCAATTTCTATTCCACACACTTCCATGTTTACACCACGAACTTCATTTTCCATCGCAACTCTGGCTGCTATCTAGAGTTTCAGAGAACTGAATATATATGTATATATTCTTAACACTATCAGGTAACGAGTTATCACTTGTGTTCTGCAGTTAAGTGAGTATGTTCTGATCGTTTCCTCAAGTATAGGGTGTCTAATTGTTCAGTAGATATCACTTTCAACATTAGCTAAATTAGTCGTACTAAAATGATAAGAATTGAAGCCATGGTTACATAATTCCAAAGTGCCAAATTAACTGCATACGCCTTAAACTTGGTTCTTTCATAGTATGCAGAGCTTGTGAACTTTTTGATTGAATTGAGGAATGCAAGTATAAGCTACCATTAGCAATCTGATATTCCAGGCTTCTAGTCTCTTCCTCCCATGTTTTCCATCTCTTCATCTGTTTCACAAAAAATATATTAAAATGTCAATACTATAAATTGGAAGCTTAAACTATCTAAACCATCAACTTTTATCCCCAAAGAAAAGTCAACAAATTAACTTGAAGAGGCAACAAGTACGCCCATATTTTCTGCACATTTTTTCCAAGGAACTGGTAGCCTTGCTTATTATATTATAACCTTTATTTGTTGTTGGACACGGCATCTGGTCACCAAGATCTTTTTGAATTGAATTATAGACTTTGACTCTGAGGATGAAAAAATGCCAAAACATCCCAATCTAACAATAAAGGAAGCTAAACATTTATCAACTCATGCTGGACCAGAAGAAATAATTATCTGCACACCCCAAATATTTTCTTTTCCAAGAACGACCAAAAGACAAAAGACTAGAGAGTCCCCGAAATAGAGCTTCCACAGCCTGGGAACCAAGACCAAATAGGTTTATTGTTTTTGAAGCATTGCCTAATATTTCCCCAGTTGCGTGACATAGATCAGCTAGCCCGGCAGCTGGTTTGAAAATTAAGCAAAGATGCATAGTATTCAGGTTTGTAGCAGAGCAACATATAGAGGCAAAACAATTAATCACCCAAGGAAAAGATTACGTTTGGAACCTTGACTAGCCCTAGAGACATTGTTAACACGCAATAAAGAATGTGAAACACTGCCAAAACTGAGATGAAGATGTTTAGCTGCATGACTCCTTCCCTTGAGATCAGTGACACCATTCCCTGTGCCATTGTCAACCGACAAACAGCTATTAGTCCATGATAACCTTGGATGAACAAGAAATTACTGATTCAAAAGTAGAAAGAACCACAACTTTCAACTACAGTCCTTCAACATTTCTCACCTTTGCCTCGCAGAAGGATTCTTGTTCATCATACTCAACAGAAAGAGTTGTAATTGATTCTGGTGAGCCTGGAATTTGATTTTCAGTTGAAAGAGCCGGTTCATTGAACTCCTCAGGATCTTTGCATG